GATGGGCTCAGGCCACACAACCCTGTTCGTACACAGACACAGACATGACTGAGTCAGGAGTCCCAGTGTTCTGTGGCACTGTTGGCTGTGAGCTATGGAATGATCTACTGACTGCTGGACCTACGAGACCTTAAGAAAAATGACTGCCTCTCTTCCCCTCCAATTTTTCCAGTCCCTAGGCTTGTGGTGAGGATCCCATGTGGCAACACACACTAAGGGCCAAAAATGGCAACAGGCTTTCCTTCAATGGTACTTTCCTCCCTTTCGAAGGCAGGGTGGAGAGCCCCAGGGCTGTAGCACTCTAGCGGGCTCAAGGAATGTCTGTTACAGTGTATACAGTGGGTGGTTTCCAGACTTGGAATGAGAAGGAAAAATAGATGGACCACCCAGACAGTTGCTGACATTTTACTTTGTAGTTAAGGGCACAAAAAATAAGAGTACAAAAGATTATGATCTATCATCTGTATTTTGTATAAGAAAATATTCTTTATCATCCTTTTTTTTTTTTTGAAGGAGAAAAGGTACAACATGCAAATAAATTTAGCTCTGTGAAAAACTTTTTGCTCTGTCTTTTCTCATTTTTCTGAAATCATCACAGAGCAGTGTTAGGGATTCGTGCTGTTGAATTACAGATGTGGGAACGTAAGCCCAGAGAGGTGAAGCGACATGCTCGAGGTCACACAATGACTCAAGTGTCAGCAGCAATGCAGGAAAACAGCCCTGTACATCAGAGATGCTTTCGTGGGGCTGTCCAGGTGCCTGAGCTGGGAGTCAGAAGTCCGGGCTCTCAGCCACTAGCCTTGAAGACACACTTTCCTCTGGGTTGCACTTTTCTAAACTACGGTTAAAGTCACCCACGCACAGGACTATTGCACAGCCTAATGAAAGAAAAGCTTCCAAGCCAGGCATGCTGGTGCACTCCTGTAATCCCAGCAGTCCAAGAAGCTGGGGCAGCAAGATTGCAAGTTAGAGCCCAAACTAGGTAATTTAGAGATTTAGTGAAATCCTTTTTCAAAAATTTAAAAAATAGTTTTAAAGGGCTAGGGATATAACTAACTCAGTTCAAAGGTCTGGGTTCAATCCCCCATACATACATACATCGATACATATATAAGAAAGAGAAGAAAAAAATGAAAAAGAACTTCAAGAGGGCTCAGCAGAGCTTAGAGTTCGTGGTCAATTTTAGGACTGTGGGTTGTCGAAACAGAAGGATTGTAAATTCATTCCTAATCTAGGCAATTTAGCAATTCGTCAAGGCCCTGTCTAAAAATAAACAAGTGAATAAAAAGCTGAGGATATAATGCAATGCAAAGGCCCTGTCTGGATTCAATCCCTAGCACTGAAAAAAAAAAAAAGTGTGGGAGGCTCCAGAAATACACGTTGGATATTATAGAGTGAGATATTAGGGAGTAAAATATCTGTGTCTCAAATTTACTTGAAAGTATTTCAGTCAATAAAAATAGATGAAACAAATATGACAACTTATTAACAATATGCTAATACTTACTTGAAAACTTTCATAGTATACATTCTATAATAGTAACAACAAAAGACCTGGCAAGGCAAATGGAAGAGATTGCACTACTCACACAGAAGTCTGCAGAAAGGTCCAGTCCCTAAAAGTGGAGGGACCCAGGCTTGGACAGACAGAGCTGGGTCAGGAAGTGATTTTGGTTTTCCTGCTTCTTCCCCAGGCAGGCCTGGTGTGGTGGCTGGGCAAGCGGAGCCTCAAGCCCTTCTCTTCCTGCTCAGGGCAACGCACCATCTGACAGACCCAACCCTGCTGGGGACGGTGCAGGTTGCTAACGCAGCCTACCAGCGTGGGGAGTTTATGATTATGCAAATAGAGGCCAGAGCTGGTTGGCTGCCCCTGTCATTTCCCACCACCACCCCAACTCAGGTGCCTTGAAAAGCCAGATTAGCAAGGACCTTCCGGAAAAGCCATCTCTCCAGTCCTTGCCTAAGGCCTCCAGATCCCCTAGAACGTTAGGAGATGGGATTGCCCATTTCCCACTGCTTCCAGTGGAAGCCCCTCACCTCTGCCTCCAGTTCCTCAGTAAGGCAGCTCCAAAGTGACCATCTTTCTCCCTGTCCCTTGAGCATCAGAAGGCGGCTAAATTCAGTCCAGCACCAAAACATGGCACGATCTACACAGGAAGAAGAGGCCATGTGGCCTGTCCCTGCAGCAGAGGCTGGAACGCTTGGTGAGGCTGGTGCCTGGGCCCAATAGAGCCAGGTAGAACTCACTGCCCTAACCCACACCCTCAGACTTCACTCACCTCTTTACCATCTCCTTCAGCTTTGAAAATGGAGTGAATGCTGTGAAATACAGAGGTCAAAATGAATGGACTACAGCTCAGTTCATCAACATGGATAAATCCTTAAAGCATAATGATGAATGAGGGAGTAGGCCAGACACAGGCACTGTGATTCCATTTAAGTTAAAAAACGGGGGGAGGGACTTAAAAATATGTCTATTTTCACTGTGTATTTATCTATTTATTAGTTTTAACTACAGTTGAATGGAAAGATAGAATCTGGATAACATATGTGTTGTCCCTATTTCAGGGAGCCCGGAGACAGAAGGAAAGGTATAGATGGCCCTACCTTGCTTCTGGTCAGTAATGTTAAATGAGCATGCAAGCAAGGATGTGAATATATGGTCCAGTCACCCATACTGGGGGATCAAGTAAGGAAAACGAATGCTGTGTCAAAGTAGTCTGTGCCTCATCCAGGTTCTTGAGTGGCTGAGATAGGAGGATCATAAATTTGAAGCCAGTTTAGGTAATTTAGAAAACTCTGTCTTAAAATTAAAAGGGCTGAAGATGTAGCTCAGGGTTATGCCAACTGCCTACATGTACATGGCCCTAGGATCAACCCCTAGCACCTCCAAAGAAATAAAACAAAACAAAAAAATCTGTATTCAAGATCAGGTGATCACTCTGTGGTGTTTTCCATTAATGAAGTCACTTAATCCTTTCTGAAAACACAAATATTTTTCCTTATGTAATTGAAAGTAAATACATCTTTTTCTCAATTTAAAAAACAGGTAATCCAGCACGCAGGAGGCTGAAGACACACATTTGAGGCCAGCCTGGACTACACAGTGAGACCTCGCCCCCTCCTCTGTCAAAAAATGAAAAGCAAAATAATTGAGTGTATGTATGTGCATGTATACTGATGCGATAATGAAAACGAGGGGGTGGTTGATACCTGTGGTTAACTGGGGACGATGACCCAGTAGGGCCACATTGGGACATTGGGGTTCCTTAGACTGTGGGGAGTATAGATGTTTCTTTTACTAGGGTTCCTTAAACCACGTGCATAGATTGATATGCTGTTCAGATATTTTACAATGAAAAACAGAAAAACCCTGGCACAACCTACATTGGTGAACTTCTGTCCCAATAGGCAATGTCTCAAAAATTAATGATTAAAAACCATGAAAGTGGCAGCTGGGCATGGTGGCACACGCCTGTAATCCCAGCACTTGGGAGGCTGAGGCAGGAGGATCGCTGTGAGTTCGAGAACAACCTGGGCTACACAGTGAGTTCCAGGTCAGTCTCAACTACATAGTGAGACCCTGTCTCAAAAAACCAAAAAACAAACAAACAAACAAAAACATGAAAGTAGGGCCGGGGATTTAGTTCAGTGGACAGTGCCTGTCTGGCAAGCATAAGATCCTGAGTTAGATCCCCAGTACCAAATCAAACCAAACCAAGCCAAACATAAAACCATGAAAGAATTAAGCTATTAGGGGGACTAGCTATGTACCTTAGTGGTAAAGTGCATACTTAGCATTCTCAAGACTCCTCAGCTGTGTCCAGTGACGGTAGCACCAAGTATTAACTCGCTTCACAAATATTTGCTGAGTGCCTACAGAAAACCAGACACTGTGTTGTGGCCAGAGGATCACGTTATCTCTGGAAAATAGAGAGTGATCTGGTTCCTGACTGCTGCTCAGTCAATAGAGGTAAATCGGACAATGTAATGCAGGATATATACAAAGTACTTTGGAAGCATAAAGGAAGTATTGTTAACTCTCAGACAGGACTAAGATGGGATTTAGAGAGAGACTTAAAGAATGATTAACAGTCTTCAGGCAGATAGGAGGGAAAAGCCTACACAAAGATGTGCAGGAGTGAAACAGCCTGGGATGTTGAGGTGACAGACAGCAGTGGGGTATGACTAAAGTTCAGGGTCTGTGCGAAAGTAGAGAGAGGATCGGAACACAGAAGCCAGATTATCAGGTGCTTAGTCAGGAGAAAAGTTTGGACTTTATCCTATACATACAGAAAAGCAATTGAAAGACTTTAAGCAGGAGAATGTGGGGTTAGGTGTACCTTTCAGAAGAATCTTTGACAGAGGTGTGAAGGATAAGCAAGACTAATTAGCAAGTGGGACTGATGGCTCATGAAATTATCCAGGTGAAGGACATTCAGGACTTGATGATGGGCAGCAGCTGGTCTGGATGTTTTCTCTAGTTCTAGTTAGGAATTCCGCCCCTTGCTCTAGAATTTCAGGGGGAGTCCTTTCAGGGATTGGGTTCCTTGAAGGCTCTGTCAGGGCCTTGAGCATTGGGCAAGATGACTCAAGAAACAGAGACCAAGTGATTCATTCATACATTCATTCATTATTCATTCAACCAGAGGTTTATGGAACACCTTTTCTATTAGGAAAGTGAGCTATAAAGGTGAATGCTCAGGACCCCGAGGACCTAGAGGAGGGAAGGGCGCCATTGAGGAGGGGATATCACCGTTTCATTTCAAGGCAGCAGGCAGAATGGCTTAAAGCCCATAGCTTTAAGGCCCAAATTCAGTCCGTGAATATTTAGTGAGCACCTAACCTATGGCAATTTCTGTCCTAGGTGCGGGGAATACATCAGGGAACAAGACACAATATAAGCGGTATGATAGCAGGAATTTATAAGCTAAGCGTAAGGTGGCAAACCAACTTCCAAATGCTCGATATGTATGGGTAACAACTAGTTTGGCTGGAGAATGCGTAGGGACAAGGGACGATCAGGAGATGATGCAGCAGTCAGGCTAGTTGGAGCAGTGAGAACCCTTCAGAAGATTCTTGGGACTCAGTTTCAAGGTGAGAGACAAGGAAGTGATATATGGTTTTTCTTTTACACGTATTTGAAGAATCTGAGGCTTAGAGAGGCAAGTGTCACCACACAGGAAGGCTTGTCGGCCAAGGTCGGAGTTCAGAACCCACGTCCACCTTTCGTTCTCTTGCTTAGTGCTTAGCCTTAGTGCCCTGGGGTCCTAGGAGACAAGAGAGCCAAACCTAAACTGTTTTGCTGAAAAGTCTGACCCCGATTCGGTGACTGGACAGTCTGGCACCTTCAGGACGACCAGCCTGGGCTGGCAAGCAGCGCAGCCGGCTCTGCGAAGGCCCCACCGCTTCGGGTGCACGTGCCAGACAGCCGGGCCACCTCCCTCCACCAGTGGTTCGCTCCGGACACCCCTCGTGCGTGGCGAATGAAGCGGCCC